AAGTGCAAGGGGAGGAAATGTGTCAGCAGCAGCATCTGAGAGTCGCAGAGCAAACTCAGACGGGAAATGAGCTTGCAAAGTGCACCCAGCAAAATGATAGAGGGGATAAGTTGCTTCTATGGAAACTGCAGGCTGATTAACCAAAAAACAATCACTTTGATGGCAAAGTTTTAGCAGGAGCCGGCTTATGCTTGGTTTCAGCTACATTCCCCACTCTGTAAGCACAATGTGTTTCTTGTTATAGCCAACAACAAAAAATGGGACACAGGTTTTTTCCTGTATGGGCTACATCATAATATTAAGCTGTTAGTTTCGTTCTGGACAAACAATCTCTTGTTGCATCTTTGAGATGGAGGTTAATGAATTCCCACAGATGATGTTGGCCAAACAGTGGTCAGCTTGTGACTTGATTTCCAGCATCATGATGTGAGGGGATCAGTATAGAAAAGCACTTTGAAGGGAAGAGGCTGCCTACAGCAGGATTGTTTCTACAAGCTAATTGTACTAAGTGCAGCTGCACAAAGCTGGATCAACAGTAATAGAAGGCGGCGCAGACTTCCTGACGCCAGCCCTGCAGAGCTCCCACCAACAGACTGGCAATTCCAGATTGTTTTCCAGACCTTATCTCTCCCAAGTTAAGTTTTTTTGTTTGTTTTTTTTAATTTTGTGACCGGAACAAAGTAACAGGAAAATCCTTTGTAAAAGCAGAAAACGCTGTTAAAGATCAGTGTGCTTCACAGAATTTGTAACTAAATATTTTGCATGCAGGCTGTCCCCCTTCTCCCAAAAGTCTAAAACTGCATTCTTTGAATGGATCTGAAAGGTGAGACAAACAAAAAGGATCAGGCAGTTGAAAACAATTGGTTTGGGAGATATTTCACCAGATACATTGAAAACCTCTATGTCAAAACATATTTAGCCAACATACTTTTTTTGGTATGTTGGATTGTGGCAATAAGGTGAAGGGACAGGATTAACAACAGATTTTAGTAAAGTCTGATGATGTATAACTATGCAGCAGTTAAAGGCATTTATAGTATTTCTAGTTGGTTTTATTACAAATATAGGGTCTTGGGTATGAAAACTTTCAAGATCTTTAATCATAAGGAAAATAAGTGACTGATACCCAAGAGCCCATAGACGGGCTCTGCTTCTGAGGAAGCACTCCATTTTCCCAAGACTTCTTGTGAGAGTCAAACCCACGAGGCAACAACCTGAATTCTTATGTAACCCAGAGGCTGTTTCCTAGAAAACCACAACAATCTGCATGGTGAGAAAACAGGGTCGGGAACTTTTCAAACATCTCTGCACTGCACAGAGACGGAGCAGCGGTTTCTTTCCTTTCTCGTTATGAGCTCATTACTGTTTCACACACAGGACCAACGGGGCAGGCAGGGGTTTCATTTCTCCGCTGATAAGGACCAGCCCAGATAATGCTAATGACCATGGGCGCTTTGGAGGGCAGAAGCACCGCGGGTGAGGCTGCCGGATGCAATACAGGGGGGTTGCCTCTGGTTTCCAGCAGGACCCTGCCTCGGCCAGCTGGAGGCGCGGGGCGGGGCTCTCGGCACAGAACGAGCCCCCCTGCGGGAATGTCCTGCGGGGCCGGGGGGGGGAGCAGCCGCGTGGGGCTGGGAGCTGGCGCCCCGCCTAGGGCCCCTGTTCAGCTCTTTGGGGCTCAGGGCCCCACGCAGCGGCGGGGAGGGGAGGGGAGCGTAGCCCCCCTCCCCGGCTCAGCTCGGGGTGTCCGCGGTGCCCCCGCTGCAGGTGCGCCCGGGCGGGGGCGGCCAGGCCGGGCCCCGCAGCCTCCCACAGCCCAGGGCTCAGCCCCGGTCTCCATGGCAGCCGCCTGAGCGGCGCCGCCGGGCCCGGCCGGGGAAGGAGGGGGGAGGCAGCGAGGGGTGATGTCACGGGGCTGGCGCCGCACAGTCCGGCCCGGCCCCCGGCGCTGGAGCTGCGGGGGCGGGGCTGCGCCGCCTGGTCCCCGCTCCCTGGGGAGCCCGCAGGGGAGAGCCGGGCGAGCTGTGGCTCTCAAGGCGGGGAATTCCCCTGCGGGCCCTAGTCCGGCTCACTCCGGGGGACCAAGGTCCCCGTGCGCCAGGGCGGGGAGCTCCATCCCGCTCCGCGCCCCAGGGGCTGGGGGTCCGTAGCCCCGCTCACTACAGGGCGGTGCCTCTCTCGGGGCACTAGAGAGAGGGGTGCCCCCTGTGGGAGTGATGGGGGTGGCTCATGCACTAGGGAAGATCCTTCCCCCCACTGCGGGGTTGTGTGCATTGGGGGGAGGGGGGAGGAAGAGAAGTAGAGCACCGCTTTGGGTGACAGGAGCTGGCATACTTTTCTTCAGATGTTAGCAGCAGCATTTTGAGGTTGGGAATAGAGAAACAGATACAAGCTTGGGACTGACATCTATTTCTAAAGTACTCCTGATCTATTTCTAAGGGAGTCTCACGTGGAGTGTCATCCAGTCCTGTTTGCAACGTTCTTTGAGATCCTTAGGGGAAATGCTACAGCAGTTCCAAGGGGTACTGTTTTCTGAGAATCCCTGCACAAAATCCATTCACCTTTGCACAATATGAAAATAAACAAAATCCAGGGCTATGTGTAAAACTGCTGGGACAATTTGGACTACAACAATTAGCCAGGAGGGGTGGGGGGAGTTTCAAAGTTTTAGTGGTCGATCTGTCTATTGTAAAATCTTCCAAGAGTGAAAGACTTTCAAAACAGGTCTTAAAATCAGTCCAAAAAATGACAGAGTGTAAACACAAATCAAGAATCCCCAAGCAGAAGTGGAGTTTGTGTGCTCTAAACACCACTTTTCATGCAGAAAGTACACGATCATTTGATCACAGAATCAATTAATCTGGTTAGTCCCTCTTCATATAACTCCACTCTATAAAACAAATTTTTTAAAAATGTGAAGTGTTAAGTATTCAATACGGAAGAATGAAACCAACTATGAATGAACCAGTCCTTTGCAAAAGTCTAGGAGGACGTTTCTGTAACATTGTTTCATTATCCAGGGATGGCAAATAATGAGAGAAACATGAAGATATTTGTTGATATTGGCTATTATTGTACCAATAATAGTGTCAAAACAAAACCTGTTCCGCTGGGGCACATGTGGAACAGAAATACAAGCAAGTCAGTAGGGTAAAATCTGTGATAGTAAATCACCAGATTTAATATAAATGAGATTTTGTTAATTTAGTGTTTTAGAAGGATTGGAGTTGCAGTCAGTATTTGTTTATTTTAATTAAGCTGTTGATTATTTGCCACACAGGTTTTTCTTGACTGTGCCTTTTAATTGTACTTAAACAATGTACTTGTCTTCTTGTAAGATTGAATGGAGAGATTCACTTTCACCCTTCACATTTCAAAATGATTGAATTGTGTTCCTGTCAGGCTCAGCACCGCCTACACCCCTAGATAAAAGCCCTGGGGCAAATAAGCTTGTGTTGCAGTCAGCAAAATGTCCTGTCAGAGACCTCCCCAAACACCAGCTAAGGAATGTGACATTAATTGGAGGAAAATATTGATTGATCCCTATAGAGCTCTGCATCCAGTTCCCAATAATGATCCCTTCCCCCCCCCCCTCAAATGGAGTATGATGTAGCTATGCAACAAGGACCCAACAACATGGATAAATCAAATACTTGTGTGTCTTCTTAAATACAATTCTCGAATACCCACACCGACTTTACGTCTATATATTAATGTAGTGTAAGTGGTTTTAGTGCAATACAGAACTATGTGTGTTGGAAAATTTAACAAGTTACAATACAATAATTTTATATCATATATAATTTCCATATCTAGACATTTACAATTTCATAGCTTTAGTCTTCCTTGAGTAGTCCGTGACACCATGGGAATTAGTTCTGATAATCAGCAGTTGAGTGCAAGACAAAATGTGGAAAATGCGATTGGGCAAAAGGAAAATTTCGAAGACTGTTTCTCTCATCAAAATAATCACTGTATGTTTGTAATGTTTCTGGAAGATGTGTTTCACTGGCTTCAGCAAAAGCAAAGATGCAAAAGTACAGTACAGTAAGTATTTTCATTTGTCACCAGACTCAATCTATGCAGAATTAATTACAGTCACATCACATGCACTGGTGGGTTACAGTTCAGCAGCCTTTCAGAGGTAATATGTGTAAATGAACTTTCAATATTTGCCTAATGATCACCAATTAATAGCAACATTTAAAATAGCCCTATCCTATTTATGAGACAGCAAGCTAACAGTGCAGTGACTTCTTAGTCTTTTAAAGCCCTGAGCTATTAGCTCTGTAGCGGAGTATTCTGTCATTATAGGAAAAAGTTCCAGTTGCTCTTGTTCATTTATTTACTTGACTTTTTTATGCTTATACCTCCTGCAGTGCTTCAGCTTACAATGCTTATTAGTGAAGCTGACCGCTTATGTACGCAACCATATTAAAAAAAGAAAGACCTGTTTGTTACTATAATTCAAATTGACTTTCAGGAAGTATCAGGCTTCACTGACACCATGTTACAACTGCAGACTTTATCTGGTTATGGTGTATTCTGCACTTAGCATGCTTTATATTGTGTCCACTCCTACCCCACCACACATACAAATGCTGATAATGTGCTTATGCTCCCAAAGCCTAGTTCATTTTCAGATCCTAAATTTGCATCATTTTTCATTCCAACTTTATCCAAGCTAGCTCTTTAAAATGAAGAAGAAAATATTAGGGGAGTGTCTGTTGTACTGGAGAGGGCTGAGAGCTCTGTGATCAGACCTGGCTCTTTGCAACCACAATGCAAAATGCCCATTTCATTCCTTTCTCAGTGGCTTTGTAAAATGAGTCAGGAGGGCTCAGCAGTTACTGTACAGTATTTACTATCCTCAGCTGTGCCTAGAATAGGCACACCCCCTTCCCTACGATTGGCTCAGAATGCGGAAGGCCTGAACCTTCTTTTAGTTTTTTTTGTACCAGTGAGAATGTCTCCCCGCCTGATGGACACATTGGGTGCCTCCAATGGCAGCAAGCACTGGCTGGATTTGGCAGCTCCTGAGCCTGCAGTATAAAAGCAAGTAGAGGTAGCTTGCTGCTTCATTCCGAGCTCAGACAGCTGCTTAGAGAAAGAAAAGGAAGGGAGGCAGTCAAGCAGGCAGAGAGATCCCTTTCAGTGTGTGTTTTCTGTACCCTGGAAGTCGGGCTCTCTCCTAGTATGAAAGCTTTCAGTCCTGTGAGATCCGTCAGGAAAAACAGCCTCTCTGAACACACCCTGGGAATATCCCGGAGCAAAACCCCCGTGGATGATCCTATGAGTTTGCTATACAACATGAATGACTGCTACTCCAAACTGAAAGAGCTAGTGCCCAGCATCCCTCAGAACAAGAAAGTGAGCAAGATGGAAATCCTGCAGCACGTTATTGACTACATCCTGGACCTGCAAATTGCTTTAGACTCACACCCCAGTATTGTCAGCCTCCATCACCAGAGACCAGGACCAAATCCTTCCTCCAGAACTCCTCTGACCACCTTAAACACAGACATCAGCATCTTGTCATTACAGGTAAATGTCTTAGCCCTGGCTGTATGCAGTGTTGTTGTAGCTGTGTTGGCCTGAAGAAGAGCTCTGTGTAAGCTTGAAAGCTTGTATCTCTCAGTAACAGAAGTTGGTCCAATAAAAGATATTACCTCACCTACTTTGTCTCGTTAGCCCTGGATGGCTTTCTCCCTCCTTGTTGGCTGTCTTCATGGCCTATATGCAGTGTCTGAGATTGGACCTTAATAATGATAATGGACATTGCTGTTAGGAAGTCAGTATTAGTGATGTATCTTTTATGATAGGGAGTGACTGGCATGAGAAACAGTTGCATATTTTTTTTGTAACTAATACTAATCATTTTAGATTGAAATAGATGAAAATGTCCCAATTGCTAGGCAGCTCTAGTAATGTTGGTTGTCATTGTGAATCTAAATTGTGACATGTCATATGGAATGAGCTTCATGCTCCAGAGTATTTTGTATTTTTTGTTGTGCTGTTAAGATATTTAACATTGCACTGTTTTGTTTTATTTTTCTTCTTTGCAGGCATCTGAATTCCCTTCAGAATTAATGTCAAATGACAGCAAAGCACTTTGTGGCTAAATTCAATGGTGAGTGTTTGTGGCTCTTGGTTTTCAAAGAATAAATATAATGCAAAATACAATTTATTTTGGGGAGGGAAATGTGTGTTTGGACTTGGATTTAAGACACATTTTAATTTATAATAAAAGTAACAGGTTTATCAGAGGATGCCTTTATAACCAGTAATCAAGCCATAACGATTGCACTAGTAATTCATTTGGGGGTAGTCCAACTGAAAGTGTATTTTCACCTTTGCAAATAAATAGTATAGACTGTTTGCTCTGATACTATCCCTTTGTACTTAAATATATCACCACATGATGTAAATTCTGTGATTATCTGTTCCTAAAACCCTAACCTTCAGATGAAGTGACTGATTTAGTTGAGGATTTTAGCATAATCCATTAAATTTTGTGATGTGGGATTGTCTGCACTATCAGTTAAATAAGTGTCTGCTTTTAATCAAATAATTGCTGTAAGAGGCAGACTGGCGCCTCTGAGCAGTGCAGTTACAGAGATCCAAATAGAGATTGGACTGAGAATCCTCTTTCTCCCCCTCCTACTGAACGTATGTTATTTTAATGTTTAATTTGTGCTTTTGAGGGTGTGTGTGTGTGTGTGTGTGTGTTTTGCATCTGGACGCCAGGGTTTGCCCAATCTTTGAGTGTTTGGTTAAATGTTCAAACTGTGGCTTCCTCTCTGGCGCCAGTCTGTCCGGATCTCTGCCCTGTTAGCATTCTCCTAAATACTCCTCTTTTCAATCTTTTGCAGGTGTTTGCTGACTTTTTTTCCCCACAAGAAAATGTCTACGGGATTTTTTTTTTTTTTTTTTGTTTTTTACTTTTTTTTTTGGTTTTTTTGGGTTTTTTTTTCCCCTCTAGAAAATGTCTACGGGATTTTTTTTTTTTTTTGGGGTGCTGAACTTATTTTTCAGCCGTATCTGGAGGGGGAATCTACATCTAATTAAATGGACCTTTTAAAACTAATAAAGAAGAAAGAAACTGAGATCTCTCCCCACCCCCTCAACTTGGACTGATCTTAGCTATTTATGAAGAGACTTTTAAATGCCCTTTCCCTAGTCGGAAGGTGTCCTTTATATACTATTCCCAGCATGGGGAGTGAAACATAAAAACTCACAAGGAATTGCCCATTTTAAAGCAGACTTTGCCTTTTTTTCCAAAGGTGGAGCGTGAGTAACAGAAGGATCCAGTGTTCAGTTTCTTAGGGAAGTCCATGGTCAGAAATGACCTTTTGACGCAAGCCTAGGATTGAATGCTGTGTATATATTTATATATAAAATATATATATATATATATATATGAGAGTGAAACCTTGTGAACTCTTTAATCAGAGTTTTCTTGTATAGTGGCAGAAATGTACATTTCTGCAAAAAGTGTAATGATGTACTTAATCATGCTAAACTTTTTATAAAAGTTTAGTTGTAAACTTAACCCTTTTTATACAAAATAAATCAAGTGTGTTTATTGAACTGATTTCCTGCTTTATTCTTGGGGACCAACAGTTTGTTGGGGACGGAGGTGTTATAATTTTACAAAGTAACAGTTCAAATATGTGTAGAACATAAATAATAAAATTACTATGTTACTATTTTTAATTCTTGTAATTTGACTAAATCTTATTTAAATATATGTTCCAAATTTCTAGCCGATCACCTTATAAACAGTGTATAAGGAATTGCCAGAGTTGTGGATTACTACAGAGTGTATGCCATTGGAAATATACACAAAAGTAGTTAGTCCTAAGAAATTCCCTTGGTGTTTGATTCCCCCCCCCCCTTGTTGATGACTCACTTTCAGTTCTCCAGTAGTGCTGCCCAAGATCTGGTAACTTGCTTTTGGAATAATTACACAGAATTAAGGGTTGCGGCTGGCTATTAGTCTCCCAACCACTTAATTTCTGCAAAAGGCTTTGAATGCAAAAGTTGGTGATGCGTTAACATGTGATTTGGAATAATGAAGTGACTGTTGCCTTTCCACACTGGAATTTACATGCTTCCATGCAATAGCTCAATGAAATGGGTTTTCTAATCAGTTGCAGCAGCTTCTCCATATGACTATTGAGAATTGAACTGAATCACTGCTGTGTTACTGATTAAACTTTGGCTGGTCCTAGCATTAACTCTTTCTCCATCAGAAAGAAATTAAGCCTGTAATGAGACTCAACATTTTTAAAAGCAAAGTGTGATTTAGTATTTCTTATGTATACACTCTAGTACTACTCAAGGGCATTTGTTGTACTGTACTTGTCCACTGTAAATTACCTGTCTTCATTTGATTTATTTTGTTGCCATAACATAAGAGGGAGGGTGGGGATGCATTTACTTGAACCTCCTGGTATTGAATTCTAGTTTAAACTAAACTATAAAGTTTCCTAAACTGGGAATTCTAAATAAGTAGACTTCAAAGTCCTATAATTGAATGGAGTTACACCTCTACCCCGATATAACGCTGTCCTCGGGAGCCAAAAAATCTTACCGCGTTATAGGTGAAACCGCGTTATATCGAACTTGCTTTGATCCGCCGGAGCGTGCAGCCCCACCTCCCCCCGGAGCGCTACTTTACTGCTTTATATCCGAATTCGTGTTATATCGGGGTAGAGGTGTATTTGCAGTGGAATGAGGGGAACTCTGATAATGGTCTGGGTAAGGACTGTTCTGCAGAAGGAATTACCTCAGGCCTGGTGGGTGGGGTTGAGATTTGTGCACTCTGAGGACTCTTCCAGGGAAAGGCACCGCACCTAAGGCCAGTAACACTTTCATCAGAGTGAACAGATGTGTGGGTGGTGGCACTACACAGTCTGCATCAGCTGCCTTTCCTTGCCCTTGACACCAAATCCATCCTCTGAAGCTGGGGAGAAAGCCAGCTCTGATCTCTTAATACAGAAGCTGCCCTGACCAATCAGTATTGCAACCCTTTGTGAGGGATCAATGCAATAAGAACACAAGCATTGCATTGAAAGTCTGGATTCAGAATAGGGTGAGGTGGGGGAGGAGAGCTAATCTACTGCTTCTCACACTACACCCACCTCCCTGTCAAACCAGTGATTAAAAGTCTACAGAACTGTAGCAAATGTTCAATGCCTCCTATGGACAAACCCTGCTACTGGCTCAGCAACAGTAGGGCTGCATGCAGTTTGGTCTAACTTTGCACAGTGAATGATTAACCCCATGGGAAAGTATTTAAATTAAAAAAAAAAAAACCTTAACTTCATTTACACAAGTCAATGTATCTTAAAGCCCCTAAAATCATTCCTGCAGATGAATTTTCTCTAACCCAAATCAGGCCCCAGGATTTTAATCTGTTTTGAGGTCTTCAGTCTCTTTTTCCCACAGTAACAAGGTAACACACACAAACACTGGCAGGTTCCCCCCTCCCTCTCAAAGCTGATTTTCCACCTAAAGCTTGAGTCAGGCTGAGGCTGTAAACAGGCAGCAATGCGTGTTGCTGTAAGGCCACTTTTTCTTTTTCTCTCTTTTTTTTTGGGGGGGGGGGGCTTATGAAGTTAAGAAAAAAACTGGCAGGAGCGTTAAGGATTACAGCATAACCCCTTAGAAAGCAAGGCACCGTGTTTCTTCGACACTTTTGAATTATGGGGTGACAAATACATTAGTAGACCCAAACTAATGTTTCTCACTCATGTACTGTCAAAACAGGAGCTTTTCCATTGCTAAGGATGTGGGGGTTTCTTGTGGGGGGGGCGGGGAAAGGGAGAAGAAGAATAGAAAACCACACCTGCTTTTAAAAATGCAAATTAAATTGTTTCCTTCTTCAAGGATTAACTACCTGTGATTTAATTTGGCATTTCCACCACACATTTCCTCTGACCAGTGCTTGGGGCTTATTAGTCACCTAGTTCTAAATTTACTAGAGATTCACACTCATTGGGTTCATACTGAAATTTTTATAGTTCAAAAGATCAACTGCAAAGTTAAAGCTTGGTCCCTAGAACTTTCGCATTGATGCTCATGTGAAGAATTGGGCCGCCCTTTTTTATATAATATTGGCCTCATAAGCCAAGCATACATTAAAAGTTTCTGCATGAAAAGGGAATCCTAGATCAATTACTTTTCACCCTCTTTCTGGGCCTGCTGTAGGCTATAAGATTATACTGTATCTGAATACAGCTGCTGCCAACAGTCATGTTACATGACTTGATGCTGAATATGGTAGATCAGGACAAATCATGGTCAACAAGTTAGTTAAGATGTGTTAGCAAACATGTTTATTAGCTGTAAAATGATGTGGCATAGACCAGGCATAAAAGTTGCAAATACAGCCACAGATTTAAGAGTAAAGGCCCCATTGGCAAACAAGAGAACCCAACAAGGGATTTAAGAAGATTCTCGCTCCAGAAGATTTGGGATGGTAAGAGTTCTTCAAAGCCTTTCATCAGGTTACAAACAACACAAAGAGCCCCTTTGTTTTTGCTGACCATTTCCAAAGCAGATGAAAAGGTTTCAAATGCATTGAAATATTTATCACAAGTCATTTAAAGAATCAGTGCAAATATTTTGACAAAATTGCTACAAAGAGTCTTGACTACAGATTAAAATTAGTACCTCTGAGTCAGATTCCATTCATGTTGGTCTCTTTATAATTTTTTACTCATATAACATGCACTAGCCATGGAGGGTGAGCACCACCTTCTGGTCTAGGTAAAGAAGGCAGATTCCCCCTTTTTTAAAAATGCCTGCTTTTCTCTTTTTAACTTATGCCTGTACTGTGCACAAATCATCTTTAAGAAAGAAATCGGTTGGTGCTTAAAATGTTAGTGAATAAGGGAAAAGTGCAATCCTTTATGGATTATTTTGAATAATTTTATAATTTCATCCTGCTAGTTCAGATGAAAATGTTTAAATTGGGTGAAAATCCAGTACATTACTTCTGTTGCCTGTGCTGATCCAACTTTGAAGTCTGAAGTTCTTAAAAATTTGGTACCTGAAGTCTGAAAGAAAGGTTTAAATGAAAATTAATTTTTTAAAATGTATTTGTGAGGAGTACAGCCATGTTCATACACCACGTCGATTGTTTTTATTTGTTTTGGGAAAATAAAAGAGGTTTTCCCACATAATTTTGTGTGTGTAGAAACTGGGGGAAAGTTATTTGTCCTATCAAAGGAAATAGTTTGTGGAAGAATACACCCTGGCATAATCCATGCCATGTAGGAAACATGTCAAGTATTAATTAAGGAGAATAATAATACTTATGTGTAAATCTCTCTCCCTTAGCAAGCACATCAGTAAACTTAAAACTGGGAGAGCAGCTGGAGAGAATAACATTC